CGTAGAGCTTACTTGGGCGAAGCTCATACTTTGTGCTGTAGCACTTCAATTTCCACCCCCACAAAGTCAAACACGGCTTGTTTGTGGTGATTTTCTCGCCCTTCAAGCGGAACTGGTCAAGCGGCGTCCCGACCAGCACGAAAAGGAAGGCGATGAGGGTAAGCACACCGTAGAGGATCGCACCAATTTTGCCCATTGCTTCTTGTGCCAGAACTAAGGTTGAGAGAGATGAAGATGGAGATGGAGAGGGAGGAAAAATGTTGGGTGAGAGCAGTGCTCGTGGGATGCCCAGGCGGCGCTCACCTCCACCCGCACCAGGGGCCAGCGACACGGCGAGGCGCCTCTTGATTGCACACATGGATATTTATTGCCAGCAGCGAGCTGCTGTGTGAAACACTTTTTGTTGGAACATCCAGACATCCGTGACTGCATTGTACATGACGATGTCTCGAAGAGCTTCGTTGCGTAGACTGGAGTAATCGTACCCTGCGCTCTGTCCGACTTGAAAAGGGAAGTGCGCCAACTTTAAAACCGCCTCGCGAAGTGAAGGATCCTTTGCCCACGCTGCTTGTAATTGTCTCATTGCCTTCAGAAGTTTTTGGTTGGTGTACGTGGTGGCGGATACGTCTCCGTGACGAACAGTGGCGAGGAGCTCATCGAGGTCGTTGCTGTTTGTTCCGACTACTTCAACAAAGTGTGTTAACTCGAGGGGATCGATTAGGTGATGTGTATAGCGGAAGGCTTCCGAGGCGGAAAAGTTGGGTACGAGGTGGAAGTCAAGGCGGGGGAGGGCCGTCATTGCCAAGGTGAGTGACTCAATGGGTATCTCGATGATGACTTGACAGAGTCGTCTATCGCACGCCAATGCCACAACTTCATTGTAGATGCGCAGCAGCGAGCTACCGTCGCGGATTTTAAGTACTAGTAGAGGGGTGACGCCATTCATGGCTTTTCTTGCGCGATCTGAAGCCTCTCCAATGAAGTTGAGAAGATCGCCACAGGCGTCGATGTTCTGGACGTTTAGCGATTTTACAATGGAGCGAAGGGGATCCTCGTTTGTACGAATGTCGACAAAGACAGCTGCCATTTTCTCTTTGCGGATGGCAGCGCGAAATAGAATGCTTTTACCGCAGCCAAAAAACCCAGCAAAAACGAGGATACGTGGGTGTGAGAGATCCTGTTGTCTTAGGGTCTGGCGCAGGCGCTCCTCTTCCTCTTCGCGATGTACGTAGCCTGTCATCGATTGCTTGCCATGCTTTTGGGAAAGCGTGTTTGCCGCAATAGATAACTGATAGGAGCGCTGCTGTTTCTTGTAGTTCTTAAAATTCCAACCAAAAACAGACATGACACCGAGAACGGCCACGCAGGCACTGAAGACACCGCTATACTTGGTGAGCACATATCGTATTTCCTTCTCTTTCATGCGTTCCTTGATTTCCTCGCGCTTCTGCCGGTGTTGGTCACGTTCCCATTCTGACTTCTCAAGCACGCTCATGCGAACAGACTTGTTCAGGTGTGAGAGACAGTGAACATCGGCGCTATCCAGCAAGTACAACTTGTCCGCCCTCCAGCCTCGGTGAAAAAGGATACAGGACGTACTCTCCTGGTCAGAGCGACGATCCACTCCTGCGGATTTTACCCATTCTAATACCTCTTGGAATTTCTCGTTCGAGATAAACTTTGAACGTCCTTCCGAGAGAGTGATCATCTCACGTGGTACGGCAAGATCAAAGCGGTCGTTATCCAAGAGGACCGCAAAGGTTCCATTTCCATTGACTTTGGCCACCAAACCGCCAATTATTGTGCCGGTGCTTGGTGCATATGCAGGGTGTGCGGCGGTAGCAGCAGCTGTGTCCACAGAAGCCGCGGCAGCGACAGACGGTGCGCTGACTCCTGCCGCCCCTGTCATTTGTCCCGTTCCTGCCGCAGGGGCACCTTTCTGCTGGGAAGCCCCATCGACTAGCGCTGAAGCGTTCTTCGTCCCTGAACTTGTTCTCGCCACTGCATCTCCATCCGATCTTCCCGCCGTGTTTGGGGCGGGTGTGAGACTCGTCTCACTGGGCTTCGCCGGGTCAGGGGCAAAAGCTGCATCCTGCCCGTAGGTGACGTAAACGCGCGATCCAACCTCAATCACAGGCGAAAGGGCAATCTCCTTGAAGAAAACGGCGTACACCGACTCTGATATCTGAGCTGTGATTTGCCCAATAGCAATCGGTTCATCTGTGCTCGCCGTTTCAGAGTTTTCAAAGTAAGCTGCAACGCGAAGCCCCTGCAGACTCATTTGCGCAGCACCACAGCGTGCTGTCGATCCCGCCGACGAGAGGGCCGAGGTGGTGGTGTCGGAGATTGACGAGGCACCCTTGTTAGCAACAGACAAGGCAACTGGACGCATTACCCGCGTCTGTCGCCACATTGCCTCAAGTAACTGCCGAGTTTATTTTATACACAAATATATTTGTTGGTGTATAAATATTCTCCCCTCCCCCTCCAGCAAACAAAAAAAGGAAAAGAAAAGGGTGCGTGTGTAAGTGGAGGGGTTACGAGGGAGATGGAAGCTATATATATATGTGTGTGTGTGTGTTTGTGTCCGTTGGCCAGCCAATTTTTCTGGAGAGCAACCCGGGAGGAACGGGCTTGGATGCAGCGCAGATGTCCCGCGCTGAGCCACCGCTCACACGCACTCAATTGCCCTCTCCGTGGTTTGTCGTTGCGGTCTCTGCTTGAAACGAAACCTTCCCCCTACTTGTGTTTGGTTTCACTACTCCCAAAGCCTTTCCCCCCCTCCCCCACCCCTCTCTCCGTACCGCGCGACAAGAGAAAAGAAAATAGGCGGAAAAGAAACCCTCATCCTAAAGCGGCAGCGCAAGATGGGTAAAGAAGCAGCAGCATGCGGCAAGCGTGGGTAGCGGAACGAGGAAGAGACAAGGGGAACACACGTTTTTCTCCGTTTACTTTTCAATGCACCTTCGCACGGCCACACGCGTTAGCTAAATGGATAAGGTCCATACACATGCATCTTCCGTTTTTGTCCATTCTCCTCCCTGCTTTCCCCTCCACAGACGCAAACCCACAAATACAGAAGAGGGAGAAAGGCCTGTGTGTGCACGCACATAATTTTCTTCAGTTATATTTCTTCGCACACAACCCTGTGCCTGGTGCACCCCTACTTTTGTGGCGCGTCACGGCGGCGACGCTTTGGAGGAGGATGCCCACCGCCTCGATCGCCGTGGCGTTGCTGTTTGTATGAATGATACCGGTCTTTTCTGCTTCCCGCGGTGTCCGCGGCCACCCGACGTGAGTGCGAGGTTGCTGGCGCCTGTGAACGTTGAGTTTTTGCTTTATCCCTTCGCCATGACGGAGTGACACCACGCACCGCTGCAGCGACTTCATCGAGCTCATTACATAAGCCTTCTTCGTCTCGCTGCTTCACCCCATCGGGCTGCAGTTTTTTCCTACAAATACGGCACAACTGCGCCACCGTTTGGGCCACACGCAGCGCCGTGAAGCTGGGGTGTGCCGACTGCGTCGGGCCTTCTTCGCCATCCGCCTTTGTCTTCAACTCAGCTGCGTGCTGCTGCTCACGCAGAAGGGGAGCAGCGGAGTGAATCTTCAGCACCGCATCCTCCACGACGGGCAGCAGAGTGCCGGCGACGCGAAAGATTTCACTCAGCAGAGGCCGCACGCCTTCATCTGTGGCCGCCGTGCAGGGCAGCGCGCGAAGAACAAGGTAGAGGGCGCACTCAATAATTGGCAGAGGGGCATCCAGAGCTGCGTCTGCACTCTCGACCGCCACGAGACACGCGGCAAGCTTCTGCAGTTCTTGACTACTTAGACTGTCAGGTGTCACCGACGCCACGCTGGTTAGTTGCACGAGCAACTGAATGACAGATAACGGCACGGTAAAGTCCTCCACACTCTTATCTAAGCACTTTTGCTCTGATGAGTACACGAGGTCCAATACTTCTGTGGCCTTGGCCAGCAGAAACGCCAAAGAGAGCCGGTTGCTGACAATGTTGCGATGCGACGCTTCTACCTCCTCCAGTTCCAGCAGTTGCTTCTGCAGTGCATCCAGCTCAGTGACACTTTTTGGTGCCTCCTGTGATATAAGCGCAGCGCAGAGCTGTTCACACCTTGAGCTACCATAGCCGCGAAAATGTTCCCTCAATGCCTTTTGAAGTTCCAGGGTGCAGGATGCCTCCGCCGACGGCGATGGAAGGCAGAGCCACGACTCAAACGCGTTTTTCAAGCATTCTTTAGCGGAAGGGCTTGACACGATTGAGACACACGTTGGAAGCGAGCGGGGGAGTTGCGCCGTCAGCTTCTCCACGATAGAGACAGCGCACTCTTCTTGAAGACTAATAAGGGCCGTCAGCGCAACGCGTCTTTCCTGTGGGTTAGGATTCTGCGATGCCTCGTCCTGTGCGTTCTGCGCATCGCCCTCCTCGCTCCCCGGCGGGGGCAGGGACCAGCGCACAAGCACCTCGCAGAGTGCATCCCCATACTGGCTGCGCTGCCCCACCGGTGCGCCAAGGAGCATCCCCGGTAGGGCCTTAAGCAAGAAGGCCCGGTGAAGCCACGGCACAGAGGTAGTTTCGAGCACACCGCGTAGGGCCCTGAGAATATCATCCCATTCCTCTGGAAGGTGCACAGATGCGGTAACGAGTGCCTTGACAAGGGGACGAATGCCTTCGCCAATCTTTTCAATGTCACTCAGAGCCGCCACAAGCTGCCGCACGGCGGTCAGAAGTGATGAGCGCGAGTTTGAGGCGTCGCCCCCGGGGCGATAATCACTCACCAGCTGAATCGATGCTTGAAGCTCCATCATCCCTTTGACCGTGCGCCGAGGAAACACAGAGGAAGAGAAGTCGAACAATGCACACCCAGCAACAGAAAGAGAGATAGATGGAGGGGCACAAAAGACATGTCAGGAGTGGCATTCTCGACTCGGCTAAGGTGCAGCACACCTCCACGCTGCGCTTTCCCAAATTAAGCGGAGACACAATAAGTGTGAAGCGACATGGGTCTCGGAGCCACGCGCAGACCTCGACGCAGCACATACTTCAGTCAGGTTGTTTAATTTGTATTCAGTCCGGCTGCTGCTGACGTTCTCAGTTCGCAAGGAACCGCTGTTGTTACCATATATGTATGCATGTGTGTATACACATATATGTGTATATGTGTATGTGTGTGTGTGCGTGCACCTACAAAGATGTTAGGTAACTAAAAACGCACCACTGTGTGTAACTTCAGCTGACGGACTCCCTCGAGGGGTTTATTCCGTCAGCGTCATAGAAAAAAAACACACACGAGTTCCATGGAGAGGAACCTGCACCGTTGCGCAATTTACTCGGCTCGAAAAAGAAAAGAAGGAAAACGCCTTTGCAGCCTTCAAGAAAGCATCGTCGGCATCACCTCTTCTAGTTCCCCTCTCCAAGCCTACCTGGGTCAGCTGACGCATATGATGGAGCGATCCTTCACCGTCCAGAGGTCTGGTCTTTGCTTCATGATCTGCAGAGCCCCTCCTGCCACGTCACGCACCTCAATCGACACGGCGGCTGCTTCAAATGCCCGACGCAGCAGAGAGCCGGCAATGATGGAGCGATATCCACTGGCACAGTACACAACAATTTTTTTTATACCCTGGCACAAAGAACGACATTGGGTGCCCGCGGTCGTACAGCTCTCGTACATCTTCTCCAAAAATGTTTGTCCAAGGCGTGAGGATGGAGCACAAAAATCAACCACCGGCGTCTCATGCCTACGTGTGGCGCTTGTCGACGATGACGAGGAGGGTGATGATGGAAGCATCGTATCCAGGGCTGTTATCTGGCACAGATCCGCCAAAGGAATGTGAATGCTGTGCTTATGCGAACCATTCTTGAACTCGTACGAAGTGCGGCAGTCGAGGACCAAGGTCTCTTCAGATGGTTCAATATATTGAAGCTGTTGGTAGTTAGCAATCCGAAAAAAGGAACATGCGTCCGAGTCAGTAACCCAAAGAAGCTGGCGCGGCAAATACCTCGACGGAATGGCTATTGGAAGAGGCTTGACTGTAATGCAGCCCTTTGTCTGCGTGTCTGCGCCAACTGCAGAAGGAGGACTGGAAGGGGCCTCCAGCTCTTTGGCGGTGTAGGTTTCTATTGGTGCACCCGGGGATATCAACGCTAGTCGCTTTCGTACCAACGGAGCCTGCTGCTCACTTGCGCAAATCACGACAATGGGTTGAAGTGGTCGCAGCAAACACTGAAGCCACAACTCGGCCTTCTTGGCACCGTAGGCAGTGGCTGGAAAACTCATAGGAACATTCACAGATCCCTTCAGATGCGCCTTCTCATGGTCGGCGCTGCCCCGGATGTCTACAACGATGGGCGTCATTGCCGCGGCGGCCGCAAGGGCATCATGGGAACTTTGAAGATGATGATAAGTCAAACAGTTCCGTGAGAGGAGTTTGGCTCCGCTTCCACCGAATGCAGAGGGAACGGCCAGCAAATTGTGTTCTCTTACATGCGAGAATAATGGCGTCTTGGGAAGCGGTGGACGCCCCTCAACGTACGTGGCGTAAGCCGCGGGGTCCAATAGATTGTCTATCACCTTGCGGGAGTGATTCATTCGCTTTAGATCGCCCAAATGAACGGCCCAGTAGAGATCCAGCTGGTGCGTCACGTTGCTGTACCCTCCGTGGGACGGAAACACGACAACGTGGTCCGGTGTCTGCCCTTTGCTGCCCTCAGCCGACTGGGCAAAGTACCTGTCCCACAGACGCTCTTTGAGAAAACGCTGCGCCACCCTCGCTGCCGCATCTGGGGGCGTGGTGGTACCTGTTGGGGGAAGTAGTCCCGGAAACTCGGCGAAGAAGTCGTGACGCGGGGCAGCATCGGTGCCAAACACAGTACCGGTAAAGAGTGCCAGCAGGGTGGAGTCAAACCGCAACTCAACCAACATGCATTCGGGGGAAAATGAGGGCACGGGAACACAGCAAAGTTGCAAACGTGGGCTTAGTGGCAATGTCGGCCACGCTTCCGCGGGCATCTCCATCCCCTGCATCCACGGCGTGCCGGTTAGCAGCACCGCCTCCGGATGTCTTGCCAACAGTGAGGCATGCCCCATTGCAATGTCCACAAAGCAGTGCGAAAGCACAACACCGCACAATTGAAGCTGTAACGCTGCAATATCCGCCTCGTACGCAGAAATGTCAAACTGTGGGTCAATAATGGCGGCTGTGCGTTCCGTAAGGTCGGCAATGAGGAAGGAGGACGTGCGTGTCACCTCGTGCACGTAATGGCGAAGCACAAACGATGTCTCGGTGATTGAGGACTCTGGCCGACAATTGTGCGTCAGCGCCAATGGAAGAAATTGATAGGCCATAAATGCCTCCAGCTTCTCAACAGCAGTCATACTATTATTGTTTTCATGCAGGCGACGCACAACTTCAATTCGATTTTCTGCCATGATGGCGGCCCGAGGAGCGGAGATGATCGCATCCTCTCTTGGTCTCTTCCTTGTCATGGAGACATCGCTTCTTGTGCCGCTTCTACTGTGTTCACACCTTCCATCTTCTCTCTCTTCGGTTACCCCCTCCTTGCTGTTTGTGCTCCTCCCATCACCGCCCTCAATAGCTTCGCAAGGACCAAAAAGTTCCACCTCCTGCACCGCCGGTGCCATCAGCGTGGCTGTCAGTCTGAGGATGGGGGCGTATCGGTTGCGGTACTGTCGCAGGCGTTTTGTGACCTCTTGGCACACCGTGTCACCCAGCGAACCTGCCACTTCGAGCAGCACCGGTCTGAAGTTTGGACGACTACGCTTATGCCTGGCCTCCGCGGCCTGCAGAGGGAGGCATTTCGCTGGCTTCACCTCTTCGCCCGCATCCTCATTCTCGTTTGCTTGCATTGCCACAAGCAGATTCCTGTGCCGATGGCAAAAAGAGGCGGAGGAAGAGGGAGACAGAAAAAACAAACAAACACAACAAAAAGATGTCACACGCACGTTGGGCACTGTAGTGCAGGCGGCCACACCCATGACACAAGGCAGATGGAGGCACGTAAATACTTCTCTACTGAGAGAAGAGAGAAATTTGCCGAGATCACAAAGTCCCCACAAGAACGTTGCAGCCCGTCGGAGACAGCTACCAAAAAAAAAAAAACAAATGTCCGGGCCATGAACCCAACCAAATCAGATGCCGAAAAAAATAGAAGGAAAGGAATATTGTTGTGTCCCCGTGTACAGGCGGTGGCGGCGGTAACGGAGGTAAGGGGTGATGAAAACCACTCCTCCGCGCCAACTTGTTGCATAAATAAATATATATATATATATACGCTCTAATTCACTCTTTTTGCTTCACCTATTCTTTTATGGCGACATCCATTCTGTGGGCAACGATGATTGCCCCTCAGGTACAGCCCAGCCTGCGGATGATCACTGGCGTCTTAGGCGTGCACGACTCCTCAATCTCGAGCCGCGGTCGCCGCCAGACAGCATCTCCGTCAGTGGCACAATTTCCACCACCACTGTTGTTGTTGGGGGATGCCACTTCAAGGGCCCGGCGTGCCGCATCCACCAGCCGCGAAGAGACCTCAAGTGCGGCGTGCACAAAGCGCATCTCCAGTAGTATAGATGGATCCTCGCTCTCGCAAGTCTCCTCCGCGGCGGACCACTTTGCAACCAACTCCGGAACGCGCGGTGGGAGATGAAAAAAACGCAGAACATCACGCGCGGTAGGGCGTGCTGTTGGATCGTTATGCATAAGTAGGCCCACAAGGTCAATCAGAGGCCTTGAGTAGCCGCGGGACTCGAGAAGCGCCACCGGCAGTTCACTGCGCAAGTCCAAAAAGGGTGTCCCGTGCTGCGGCAGCGCCTCCCCTGACATAAGCTCAAAGAGTGAAATACCAAAGGAAAAAATATCCCCTGCCTTGGGATGCTGCTTTTGGTTAAGCATGTCCGCGCACACATAGCGACAGTCCCCCTCCTCCACACTCATGGTGCTAAGTTGAGTCGGCATACTCAGCCCAGTGAGGTCCATCATGGCGCTGCCATTCACCATTGGCGACATATTGCTAGTCCTTTGGTTTCGTGAAGTACAGCACCGCCTTGGACGACCCTTGTCGTTGAGAGCGACACTGCAACCAAAGTCGCTAAGTTTGTAATTCCCATCTCCGTCTATTAACACATTATCTGGTTTAAAGTCCATGTGCACAATATTGGCACTGTGCAACGCATCCAGCGCAAGGGCCATGTGCCCAAGAAATATGAACAATTCCCGTTCATCCCACCGCTCCCCGCGTTTGCGCCGCAGATCCGCCATATTAGCCACGGAGCCGCCCTTACAGTACTCCATCTGGAGGTACATCTGCGGAATAGATCCCTCTTCCCAGGCCTCCAAAAGTCGCACAACGTGTGGAAACCCTCGAGCAAGGGTCAGGATTTCCTTTTCCTGCAAAAAACGTTGTCGCTGCTCAGCATGAGTCAAAGGCGGCAACATTTTCACCGCCACAAGGGCCCCTGTACGAGTTTCCTCGTAAAGTGTGACCTTGCCAAAGGAGCCAGAGCCCAGATCCTTAATTTCCCGGTAGTCGGTTAAAATGCGTCGCGTAAAGAAATTGGAGCATTCAGTGTCTGCCTGCGACTGATCCGGCCCCTCTGGCGAGGCACGGATAAAGGAGGCACTCTGCCCGCGTCGTGGCAGCCAATCCCCCTGAGAGGAAACCGTTTGGGATGGAAAGAGCACAGCGGCGGAGAAAAAGTCTGGCGGCGCCGCAGGACGACCTCCGCAACGGCGTGTTACTTCGGCTGCATCATCCTGTGAGATGATAGGCATGGAAATTTCCGTCTCGTCCAACTGTAATGCGCTGAACTGCGACAGGTCGGAGGATGTCCGCTTCCTCGAAGCAAGACCCTTGCGGATATCTTGCACAGCATTCCGTGGACCACGTTGACAGTTGTTGAGTGGCGCTCCCCGCATCTCGTTTCGAGAGTGGTGCACAGTTCTGCGCTGCTTTGCCGGTGTCTTTGGCACTGGCGGCGGCAGCCACGATGAGGGGTTTTGCGGCACGGCGAGGGGCGTGCTGAAGTCATCCCTGTTGACCACGCTGTTGTCGATCTCCAGCGCCGTAGCGGGAGGTGCGAGGGTTCCCATTTTGGCGACCCGCGTGTAATGTGCCGCCAAGCTGTTTGTAACAAAACTTCGTTTTTTTTTTCCGACTTTGCTTCTCTGCAAGTCTAACGGGAAATAACCACAAGACGTGAATAAAAACAGGTGCAAATGAGGGCATACCCACACAAATAGGCAAAGAAAACAACACAAAGAATTGTTTCTCCCTGAAAAAAAAAGGGGGTGGGTGGGTGGGTGGGTGGGTAACACATAAGGAGGGATACACCTTTGCGTATGTATTGCAAGGTAAATGATGCGCACATGTGGGCAAGTGGGTTAGTGCGGGCGTGAGAGTGGGGTTCTGCGCAGGATGCCTTGGTGTTAGCTGAGTATCTCTGACGGCCTCCGTTCCTACCACTTTGGGAGGCCCTACCCTCTTTACTTTTTTTTAATTTTAATTTTCTTTTTTTTTCTTTTTTCAAGCCTTGTCTTCTCTGCGTCCTTCGCTTACCATACCACACGTTTCCACATACAGGGCGAGAGACGCAGAGGTGCAAAAGTGCACAACAAAGCACCCGTTAGTGTTTCAGTTCCTTTCTTGCCTGCTGCGCCATCATTTCCAATCGCGCCTTTTCGTACATGTCCCGCTGATGCTGGTCGTAGAGTTGACTAAGCTGAGCAAAGCCATTCTTGGCGAATGCGGCGTAGAGGAGCGCGAACTCCTCCACACACGTCTGTTCATCCTTGGTGAGGTTAAAATCGCTCTTCTCTGTAGTAGAGGGGACGACGCACTTCTGAAAGGCACGATGCACAATGTTCTGACGAGCCGCATGGTAGGCGCGGTACTGCTCTCCCTTGATGGTGTCGCCTGCCAGCGCCAGTGAATTGCCCTGACCCATGTCAGCTAAATGTGAGTGTGTTTTCT